AAACAACTCAACAAAAAAATTGAGGAGTAGCATCTTATCTACTTACTGCTGGCATTTCAGGGGCACTGGACCTGGAAAATACATTATGTTCTACCTCTTACAACAAAAAGATCAGAAAAGCTCACCTTGAACTGCATTTTTCCATAAGGTTTTCCATACCATCAACAACCAGAAAACAACCATTAGAAACTTAACTGCACCCACTGATGACCTCCACTAAAATAAATCAGCAGCTTTTCAGCTACAAAACATTAAATGGACACAGTTAAGTATCAAAAACATTAAGCAGACTTTAAAGTAACATGAAAATTAATAGGAATAAAACATAAAGATGGCATTCTAGATTCACAATACTGACTTCTTTGACGAGGACTTCAACTGGAAAGCAGAAGCAGGATACAGAGACAGGCAGAAATTCACAACTCAGTGGTACACACATGTAAATGTATCAACCAGTTACTGGGTTCTACAAATTTTGCTAACTCCTTCATATAACATTTTCGTTCAAAACCTCATAGCAACCCTGTGGAATGAACTTTATTATCCCACACATTACAAATAAGGGAAAAAGCTCAGAGACAGTTGATAAACTGCTCAAATTCTCATAGCTAGTAAGCAGCCTTGCTGGGATGCAAACCCAGGTCTGATTCCAAAGTTGATGTTCCTTCCCCGCAGCCTCCAAATGAAGAATTACATGGCTTTTTTTCTTTTCCCATAATTAGCAGTAAACATTTTAATGTTTCAAAGATTCATTTTGTAGATCTGCACCCCAAGAAGGGAAGCTGAAACTAGCAGCATTAGATGTCAGTTATACATGACAGAGAAAACTGATAAGCAAAAACAGCTTCTCCAAGAAAAAGTCAACTCACACAAAAAAATGTTGTTTACCAACAAAACCCAGGAAATATCTGAGTATTTACTCTCAAAATCCAGTATTAGGTACTGGAAGGGCTCAGGAGAGAAGTATTAAGACACAGTGCCTCACACTCCCATTCCAGTTAGGACAAGAACAAGCTCAATAACTGAGGAACAAGCACTGAATCGACTGCCACAAAGGCACGGGGTAGGGCAGTCAGGGAACACCCTCTGCAGGAAGCATATCTTCAGCAGGGGCTTGAAGGAAGTGAAATGGAGAATGTGCATGGAGGGGAAAAACAGGAGCAAAGCCCAAGGCAGTTGTAACTTGGCTTCTGCAAGGGCCAGACCTGGAGCAGAGGCAGGGAAGAAGGTTCAGGCGGGTGGAGGGTGGCCAGAGGGAGGAGAGCTTTGAAAAGACAGCGAGGGCAATGGCTGGACACAACGTGGCAGGCAAGACGACACCCCTCAGCTTTAAAATGTGGTATCACTGCCAAGGCCTCCTAGCTGATCTGGCCTCCAGCCTTTCCCTTCTGCCTTTGGCACAGGAACCATCCCTTGTCTCCTGTCGCTCACCTAAGCCTGTAGAATACTTTCAACTTTGGCCTAGTGTTCCAAGTTTTTTCAGGAACCATGCCCAACCAACGTTTCCTCCTAATCTCCTATATGAGCCCTTCTGTGCCAAGAGACTGGTCCAGGCAATAAACCTGCAGGGTCACTGGGTCCGACTCCTCTTTTCCTGACTCCTACTCATTCTTGAACACCCACCTCAAATACCGACCCTTCGATAATCCCTCCCTGACCACTTTGTGTACAGTGACCTCTGTCCTTTCTGAATTCTACAGCACACAGCCCTGTCTCATCAAAATTACCTTTCAACGGGTAACCTCTCAGCACCCAGTATAATGCTACTTGGCCACTAAGTGTGCCTTCAGCAACTTCCCCCACCACCTGGGAGCGTATCTTGACATTTAATAGGCAAGCAAGCACTCAACTATTTTCTGACTTCCTATAGTAAGTTTGGCGTTTGCATAAAGGAAGGATGGGGGAGGGGGGAACCTCTGGAGTCAGCGACCAGCTAAGAACTGTTGCAATAATCCAGATGTGAGGCAAAGAAGGCCTGGACTAGGGAACAAAGAGAATATGAGCAAATATAAACAAAATGTTTGCATGCAAAAGCTCCACGGAATGTGACTAAAGCTAGGGACAACGGCAAAGGATGAAGAATGATTAAGGTGAGATTTAGAAAACGCTGCTTGGAATCATTTTAAACCCGTCTGAAACAAAGTGCACTAAGTGGTTAAAAAGTCCACATTTGCAAAAAGTCTTCAGCGAAACTGCTCAGTGTCTTGAACCAGGGACAGCCCTTCCTATTTCCGATGTACACTACACGGGAGAGCTAAGTCTTCAGAGAGTTGATCTAAACCCTCAATTCTCATAAGGGGAAACTGAGGCACAGGGTGGAAAAAGCTTGCCGAAAACCTCAAGGTACACACTCCTAGACTAGTACACAGCCACAGCAGGGCACTGTTTGCACCCTCCAGGTCAGCCCCAGCCCTCTGGAATGGCAGGACTGACTGAGCCCGAGAGTGACCATGGAGACCTCCGGGGGTAACGCCGCAGCCTCCTGTTTACCTGGAGGAAGGCGGTGGGTAGCTGCGGCTTCTTTGCAGCTCCCCGAAGGGCCGACCCCTCAGCCCGGCCCGGCTCTCCAGGAGCCTCAACCAGTCAGCCCCACCCCCGGTCCCACAGGCAGCGCCCTCGCAGGCGCGGGCCCGGAAGCTGGGATCCCGAGACGCCCGGGGCGGAGGCTGGGAGCCCAGGGCAGCTGCCCTGGAGCGACCCTCGGCCCGGCCAGCGGCCCCGGACTCCGCGGCCGAGCCCGGGTGGCCCTCGGGGGCGCGCTCCTGTCCGGAACAGGTGCCCGCGCCGCCCGACCCCGCCCGGCCTCGGCTCCTGCCGGCCGGCGCGCGGCACTGACCAGGCGCGGAGACGCCCGCCCCGCCGCGCCCAGAGGGAGCCGGACAGCGGCCCGGGGCTGCCCCGCGGCCCCGCCGCTCCGCCCGTACCTCCCCGCCGCCCCCGGTCGGCGCGCCTCACCTGCCCGGCACGCCGCGCTCACATCGCCCGCCCGCGGCGCCCCCTCCGCCGCCGCCGGCGCCAGGCCCGTCCCCGCCGCTCCGGCTGCACCCCCTGCCCGCGCCCCCCGCCCCCGGAAGCGCTTCCCGGCCCCGCCCCCTCGGCGCTCGCGCTTCCGGGCAGGCGCGGACCGGGCCGGCGGCGCGGCAGTTGAGCCTCTCGCCGCGGCCGGCCGGGGCGCCCGAGTCTCGCCGAGCTCTGGTCCCCAACCCTCGGGAAGGACATGCGACAGCCGCGGTCTGGACCGCGGAGTCCCGACTCTGGGCGGCGACCCAGACCGTGGCCTTCCGCCCACCTTCCTGGCGCCCCCTGCCGGCGGTAGCGGGCTCGGCAGCGGGGCGCGCCCGGGGCTCCTCGAGCTGAACCTGCCGGAGAGCTCAGGACCCCGCGACCCGCCGCGCTGGGGGGCTGCGCTCACCCCGTCCCTTCCGAGACCCTCACTCCCGGAGCAGCCGGGGGCAATGTGGTGTAGTGGTTATCAACAGGGTCTCGGGACCTGCCCTGCTGGGTCACTTAACTATCACCTTGTGCAGGTGTTCTGTCGCTCAAAACGGAGACATTTTCCAACCCGGGCTTATAAAACTCCAGCCACAGAATAATCTGGTCTCAAAAATGTGCACTTCAGGGGCCGGGGATTTAGCTCAGCGATACAGCGTCTGCCTGGCAAGCGCGAGGTCCTGAGTTTGATCCCCGGTACCCGCCCCCCCTCCAAGTGCACTTCAGACCCTTGGAGACACCCGAGTCTTCACACCCTGGGATGGGAGTGGGAGCCTCACCTGGAATTTTCCTCTGAGCTTCAGATGAATTTAACACTCTTGAAGAGCTTCCCTATGCATTTTAGTGGATTCCTCAGTAGTTGTGGCTCGCTTGCTTGCTTGCTTTCTCTTTCTTTGTAACAAGAATAAACTGAGAGTCAAAGAACCACCTCCTCTTCAAGATGGACAACAGATCTCCTGACGCCACCTCATCTTGCAAGCAGGATCCACCCAGGATCCACCCAGGTCATCTCCCCCAAACAACAGCTACCCTTTGGCAAACACTGCAGGGGACTACGTGGGTACTACAGATAGACCATCTTGACTACACAACCCCGTATCATTCCCATTTTATCCAGGAGGGAGCTGAGGTACAGAGAGACTTAGTGAATTATCCAAAGTCACACAGACTTGGAATGAAATCCAAGCTCCAGACTCAGAGCTCTGCCTTCTGCTGGCAACAGAACATTCAGAGTGCAGGATCTGAGGTAGCCAGTCTATAACTGCAGACACCTGTTCAGACAGTCGCGCTAATTGCTATTCCTCCGGAGCTGTTTCCTTGAGATGTGTTCCCAAGAGTGAGATCAGCAGGCACAGGGCACAGGAATGCATCATCTTGTCTGGCCAGGTGTCCTCAGGACCCCCATGCTGAGTCACATGCCCACAGCACTGAGTTCCTGTTTCCCTACAGACCAGCTTGGACCGCATCAGTTTAACTGATTTTGGCTGAATTTGTTGGTAAGAGTTGGGGGCTTCTTGGCTGTGATACAGTATTTGCATCCTTAAGGATGATAAAGACTAAAATGTTCTCAGAGCTGTTGGGTTAGTGACTACTCCCGCTTCTCTCTGGCCCACTTTGTAATCCCCAGTTTGGCTGAAGCTGTTATTGGCTGCGTTGACACTTAACTAATGAGTCTCCCTTAAACAAAAAATTACATGAAAGCCAGTCTCTGCAGTGCATGGCTGTAATCCCAGCACTGGGAAGGCTGAGGCAGGAGGATTGCCATGAGTTCAAGGCCAGCCTGGGCTACATAGCAAGACCCTGCCTCAAATAACAACAACAACAAAATCACATGCATGATTTGGAGTCTTCTTACTCTTGCTCCCCTCACTGGGAGGCACTGGTGTATCCTCCAACCGGTTCCTACTTGCGTGGTAGTAGGCCAGCAGGGGGAGCCTGTCTCTACACAGACCCAGAATGTCCCCTGACCTCCAGAACATCCCAGTGGGTGAGGGGATTCTTCCACGCCTGCCTCTGCAGAGCAGAGTTGAGTGTTCCCTCTGTGCCAGGAAGAGCCCTCTTCCTCGGAGACCTCCTGGCACCCACTGCTGGTGTGTTGGGGATCAGGTAGGTAGTTCACACCTCTGAGCCTCTCCTGTTAAATGTGATCAGGCAGAGGGGTGTGATTTGAAGAGGACATCCTTTGTTTGCATAGCTAAGGCTGGCAGTAGAGAATGCTGTGGCTAAGCAATGAGGCAGATCCGGGTCGCTCAGCCACACAGGAGCTTCTGATCTGGGACAAGGGACCTCATGGTGTGAGTGCTGGCTTGCTCATCAGTGTGGTGCCAGCAGTGGTACTGACTTGAGTGGGTCAGTATGGTGATATAATGCTTTCAGGGTGGCACACTCAGTAAATGCTTTTTTTTCCTTTGGTACCGGGGATCAAACTCGGGTACTTGCGCTTGCAAGGCAGGCAGGTGCTGGAACCACTGAGCTAAATCCCCGGCCCTGTACTGCAAATTTTCATCAGTCGTTAACTGGGAAGTTTTAGGCACAGGAGGAGTAGGCAATGCTGTGTGCCGATTAAAAGAATGGAGGAGTCTTTAGAGATGCTTTGGATGAATGATTTAATCTTTTTAACTTTTTCTTACTCAACTGAACATAGAGACTAATGTGACTTAATTTCTTCTTTTAATAAAGATTTAACTTTGAGGGAATGGTTGCTGGGGAGCACTGAGTTAGCTCCCCAATTTTTTTTTTTTTTTCACTTTGAGACAGGGTCTTGCTAAGTTGCCCAGGCTGGCCTTGAACTAGTGATCTTCCTGCCTCCGCCTCCTGAGTGACTGAGATTTAATATGATCTTTATTAAAATTTAAACCTGGCATCTGAAAACACCTCATGATCACTGTGTATTTTAATTGGTTGTAGTATTTGCCCCACAGTCACAAAATCCAGAACGTATCTCAGAATCCACAGTATTCTCCGACATGATGTCTTAAGGTTGACTATTGTATCTCACACTGGTTTACTTACAGGCAGTCAGGAAAGTAAAGACATCTGTGAAGACCTACCCCAGTTGAAAAAGGTGCCTGTGCCCTGACTATCATAAGCAGGCAGAAACTCACTGGACAACCGACCCTCCGTTTCAGTGAAGGGCTTGCTGCACAAGGAGAGGGTGCATGCTGCCACATGTATTTAATGCAAAGCCAACATCCTGTCCATCAAACTTCAGACCACAGACACTGCCTGCCTTCACTCAGAAGTCAGAGGGCTTTGCAGGATGACTTTGAAGACCAAGGCTTTTACAAAAGATACCCAAGATGGAAATTCCCCCACACCCCTAGAAAATTCCCCTACAGCAAATAGTTCCATTGACCTTAGAGGTGACTTCAGTGCTTTCTTCAGAGTTGAAAGCTGTTTAAAAATAAAAGTTGTGAAAATAAATAAATAAAAGTTGTGCCATCTGATTGCTTGAAGGCTTCACTGAACCTTTCAAATATGAGGATCCAGAGAGTGGGGATCCCTTTAATCTCTCTCTCTCTCTCTCCTGCCTGTTCTTTATTCCTTTCCTTTTTACAACAGAGTCAGAAGAGAGGAGCCCTTTGGGAACCAAGTCCCTAGGGTCCTGTGGGATGATCCCAAGTGTTGCAGAGGAGAGAGGAAAGTTCATCTTTGCCTTTTTTTTCTAATAAGCTTTAATGAGAAATAACGAGTCTTGATCAATGCCTACATTTGTTCACTACCAACATGACCTTTGCTGTATGTGCTGTATGGGGATTAAACCCAGCACCCAGCTTTTTTATTATTATTATTTTATTTTGAGATAGAGTTTCACTAAGTTGCTAAGTTGCCCAAGCTGGGCTCCAACTTGAGTTCCTCCTGACTCAGCCTCCCAGAATGCTGTGATTATACCACCATGCCAGACTCAACCTTTGCTTTTTTGACTCTGGCCTTTCTTCAAAGCTGAGCATGAGCAAAGGACTTAGCATTTGATTCTGATCCTGCCTCCTAGTCTCCACTGCAGAAACAGTAGCTGGGGAAGTGCCAACAGGACCATGCTGCAAGCAGGATCCACCAGCAGGGGAGGCAAGCAGTGCCTGGGATCCCCCACTGTGAAAACCGCTCTGGCAGATTTATTCATCTAGCAAATATTCATCCATTCCTTACTAAGTAGCAAACACTGCTGTAGGTGCAGGGCATTTAGAAGTGGACAGGGGAAAATAAACTCATGCTCTTAAGGAGTTTACACACTACCATGGGAAAGGCACGTATCATCAACATGTGTACTATGTTAGAGGGAGAGAAGGGCTATAGGAAAAATAAACAGTGAAAAGGAAAAGTGACAGTGTTTTAATATGACTTTGAATCCTTCCCTCACTGCTAACGTTACCCTTTCATGACAAACAAGAGGGTGCTCACAGTGCTGGGTGAGCAGGGCCTCATGCATGCTAAATCAGACTCTCTAAACCTCAGTTTTCTCATCTATAAAATGGGTATGGTAATAGTACCTGCCCCCAAAGTCTGTTAGGACAATCCCATGAGAGAACAGAGATGCTTTGTGGAGCTTTGCATTTAGTGGGTGCTAAGCCAGTGGAAGCTGTTGGCTGATGTGGGCCTCTGTGGTTGGCATCAACGGAGGGGCAGCACAATGTGGAGGTGCACCCTGGTTTGTCTCCCCTCTCCTTCTCCAGACCCCCTGCTCCTGACAGGCTGTCATTTTCTGCTCCCCTTTCATCATGGAGCTTAGCTCTGTGGAATCTTTGCCTCTGGCCCCTTAATGAGAAAAGTCTTCAACTGATCTGCCCCTCCTCTCCCTCCTTCCCCTCTCATTGCCTGGAGAAGTGTTCACAGAGGAGGCTGCCTTCCTTGTCAGTCAAGACTCAAGCCTTGGCTCTCTTGGCCCTTTCTTCATTTTTAATGCCCTGATTCGAAAGACACTGTTTTTTATCCTCTTTGAGAGTAAGTGGCCTTTTGGAACTTCCAAGAAGGATCCTCAGTGGTAAACGAGTTAGTAGGTTCCGTTCCTCCAGGCAACTCCTTTGCAGAGAATCTCAGTCCTCTGCTCCAGCCCTTCTCTGCACTGGAACCAAAGCAGTTTATTCCCCTAGCATGCAAGCCTGGCTCAGGTGACAATTTATACCGAGAGACCTTCCCTAGCACCTGCCTCCAGTGCCCTAGGTCATTCAGATAAGTGCATGGCTTGTACTTGTCCTCTTTGGCAGAACTTTCAGATCCGAAGTCTTATTAGGAGCAGCTGAATGCTGGTTAGGCAATCAGAATACAGTTTCTATGGTCCTCACTCACTGAAAAAAGTTAAGATCCCTCTCTTTTCTGAATGTCTGTTTCTTCATGTGTAAGACAGAGATAACTATTCTGATCCCAAACAGTTGTTGGAAGTAGTGCAGTAAGATAGTGACTGTAAGGTTCGTTACAAAGTGCCTCGTGTAGGATCAACACACATTAATGAGCAGAGTTCCTGTGTCCACGCTGGGGTTTGGTTTGAGGTTTTTCTATCATGTCCAGCTTAGCTGGGAGCAGTCACATGAACCAAGTCATCTGCTGACTCGTCTGTCATGCACAAGTAGCTCAACAACTGGACCTTATCTTGCTCTCCCACAGTTCTTAGAAGTACCAGCATTTCCTGTTGTCAGGGGCTTCCTGTTACTTGAGAACAAGGACTGTGTCTTATGCGCTATGGTCCCTGTCTGTGCCCAGTACCAAGCTGCACACAAGTGCTCAGTAAACATTTAAAACAAAGATAAAAGGGAAGACAAAGAGGTCATGCTCCCACAAGGATGGAAGGGTTCCATACCAGAGGGCACAGACTTAAAGTGTCCTCTTAAGTGGGTAGGTGGCATTCCAACCACCCTGCCTACGGGTGGACCCTCCTCACCATACCTGCCCTCCCCGGGCCTCATTTCAATGTCCTCTCAAAACTGCTGCTCGCCCTGTCTTACCCAAGAGGTGAAGGTTGGCAGAGCCCAATTCTAAGAGATGATCAATAGTAGAGCTCCAGGAGTTCAGGCCTGAGTGTAACTGACCTTGTTTTCTTCCAGTGGCAGAGTCCATCCATGGTCACCTACCACAACCTCCCCATCAGCACTCTTGTGCATTCTAGGAACCTCCCTGTGGGACAGCCATTCCTTTCAATAATATGTATGGTGCACTCTCATGCTTTGCTGACATTTCAGCCTCTGGGGCTCTCCATCAGTTACGCCTCCTCAGCAGAAAGACCTCCTTGAATTTTGAAGCATATTTCAAAGGGCTTGACCTTATCCCTCTCTACCACAAGACCCAGGAACTTAGAATTGGAGGTAGAGGGCCGGGGATTTATCTCAGTGATTTCTCCACCTGCTGCGCAAGCACAAGGACCCGAGTTCGATCCCTGGTACCAAAAAACCCAAACAAAACAAAAAAAGAATTGGAGGTAGAAATGTGAGTGTGGCCCTTTCTGTGCTCAACAGAGTCAAGCTATATTGTTTGGACTATGAATCTCTCCAAATACCCATAGTTATGTGCTAGCGTCACTTCCTGTAGATGGGAATGCTGTTTTTAGCAGGAGGGGATTAGGTATGACAATCCCACTTATAGCTGAAACAGCTTGCATGGAGCTTGAACTGCAGTTTTGAGGACCATCCGATTTAAAGAGCAAATAAACTAAAAACAAGTTTGGAGAACTACAATCAGGCCACGTAGCAGAAGCTCAAAAACAAACAATCTTGGGGCGGGAGATTTAGCTCAGTGGTTCTCCCACCTGCCTCAAAAGTGGAAGGTCCCAAGTTCGATCCCCAGTACCCTCCCAAAAAACCCCAAACACTGTTGAGGCCGGCCATGGTGGTGCACCCTATAATCCTAGCACTTGGGAGGCTGAGGCAGGAGGATCGCTGTGAGTTTGAGGCCAGCCTGGGCTACATAGTGAGTTCAAGGTCAGCCTGGACTACACAGCATTTCTACACAACATTTCTACCTCAAAAAAACAAAACAAAACAAAGAAGTTGAGAAAAATAAAAAGGCAAATCCAGAAGAGTATCTGCTGTACCAATGATAGGGAATTGGAAGATAGGCTAAATTCATGGTGGCATTGGCCAGGATAGGTTCCCCTTGACAAGAGGAATGAGAAGAACCCTGAGCGCCATGTTTCTGGATGTGGATACCAGTGACATGGGTACATTTGTTTTGTGAAAATTCATTAAATTGTACATGTATGATTTGAATTCTTTTATGCTTGATCATACTTCAGTTACAAAAAAAAAAAATGTGTGGCCAGCAGAAAATCCTGAGGTCCAGGAGTAAATAGCACAATGACCAAGCAAGCTTTGGTATAAGTTTCTTTACATTTAAACCAACTCATAAAGCAATATGAAGAATAGCGCACCCGGCCCAGCTGTCCTGTGCCCACAGGAGCATAAAGTCTCCCAAGAGAAAACTTTCTTTTCATAGCGAACAAGGGGAGGGACTCTCACCCAGGCTCTCTCCTTGGATCACTGTCTGTACAAGTCCTGTGTCATCACCCCCAAGGGAGGCCAGGGGTCAGCAGCTGCTAGACAGTACAGCTGCTGTTGGAGAGTCTTTAAGAGCATGTAACAATTTTGCCTGGAGAAGATTGTGGTCATTTTGGGGAAGGACTTCCAACCTCAGATTCAGAGGCCACCCTTCCACCCCACAGAATTCCCCCCAAGTGCCACTCTGATCACAGGACAAGCTGCCTCCCAGGCTTTCTGTAGAATAACAAGTCAACTTTCATCCTGCCCAAGGTAGAGGGGTTCTTGTGAAAGGAGTGTTTTTTTTTTTTACTCTGATAAGATTACTCAAAGGACAAGGAAAATACCATTTTTTTAAAGTCAGCCACATTGGGCATTTTTCTAAGTTCAAAAAGAAAAGATGGGGAATGCCCATGCGCCTCCACTGCTGGAGAGCCACCAGGAGCAGAAGCAGCTTGGCTGTGGGGGTGACCACTGGTTTGCCACCAGTGCTCAGTTCCTGATCCCAGGTCCCACATGATTGCCATGACAGCTGCTTAGGGGTGGTGGAGGAGCAGCAGGAGCCCTCAGTGGGTCAGCACATTTCAGTTCCCAAGAAAGGAGAAACTGGAACATGACAAAGCCAATCTTCATCACCCAGCAATTTCTGAAGCGGGTCCTGGACTGGGGTTGGCTAGTCATAAAAAATCTGTCCTTGTGGATGACTGAATTATAAGAGGGAACACAACCAGTAATGGACAGTTTTGTACTCTCACCAGAATAATTTGATGTCGATCTCAGAGAGTATTTTGGTCTCCCCAGTCTCTCACCTTTGGGTGCTGTACCCACACCTGCCTCAAGACCATAGGAGACTGTTCTGACTTGAACTGAACAAATTCTTATTGGGTGCCAGGCCCTGCGTGGCCAGGAACACAGAATCAAGCAGGTCTTTGCATCCTTTTGGCCCTCACAGTACTAGAAATGTGCA